TGTTTTGTTGTTGCTTTTGTAGCTGTTAAGTAAGGATGGTAGGAGGTTCAGAGGTGGGAGGGTCAAGTACCCATGCTGCTGAAGCTGAAGTTAGTAAAACCAAGAGGAAGGGGGAGAACCTTAAGAATAAGGGGAAGGAAGTTCAGCTTTCTGATACAGGGAGAAGGAAAAGTAAGGTTGTTGCTGGAGGAGGAGAGAAGCAGAAGGCAGCAGTTCGTGCAAAAAGGCAGAAGCGAGCTCCGGGGGGAGGGAATGAAGCTGCTTTGAACTATCGATGCAGCCCGAAAGAGGTTATGAGTCATGTGCTGCCTCCTTTATCTCATGGCAGGGTACAATTAATTAAGCAGCTGGGCTTGGATTTTCTCTTTTTGCTGAAGATGAAGAATCTGGACAATGAACTTCTTAAGTTCATTATTTCAAGGTGGGATGGGAAGAATAAGTGTATAAACTTGGATGATGGAAAGAAGATTTGCATTACGGAAGAGGATGTTTACAGAGTTTATGGCCTTCCACGGGGACCTAATGTTGTGTGTTTGCAGAAAACATCAAAGGTGAATTCTAACCTTGGTAAAGATTATGGTTTCAGTAAAACTGGGAAGGGGACTGTTGGTTTTGAGAATTTGAGGACTTGTATGGGAGCAGAGAAGTCTGATTCTAGGTGGGTTAATATGTATGTTTTGATGATTTTTTGCCGCCTTTTCGAATCTGTTACATCTAGGACAGTGACAACAGAATACTTGACTTTTCTTTCTCAAGAAATGGTTAAGTATTTCGGTGACTATGATTGGTGTAGTTATGTGTATGATCTCATTTGTGATAAGGTGACATCAAGTCAGCATCATAGTTGGGCTGAGGGAGATATGCATTTCTTGCTCATTTGTTTCCTCGATAGGACAACTGTGAATGAGGAAGAGGCCAGCAACTGTGTCAGTAATTTGGTGCCAACCTGTCAGTTGTGGAGTTCGAAACATTTGAAGCAAAGGAAGGCAGCAATGGAGAAGAAGTTTGGGAAGGATTTTGGTAAGGTGTTTGTTCTAAGGGATGCACCCATTTCTTCTACTACTCGTCCGAAGATGGCTCGGAGTATTAGTGGAGATGAGAAGGGTTCTGGGATTGGAGATGAATTTCCAGATTTCGATTTGAATCTGGATGGCAAAACTGTTCAAGAGGTGAGTTTGTATGGTTTTGTATGTGTTCTTTGCTTACTTTGTACAGATTGTTCATATGCTTTATATGCTTTATGATATGTTTCTGTAGTGTTTATACTGTCTGTATACTTTGTACTGTTTGCACTGTTTGTACACTTTGTATGTTTTGGTCTCATCCTTTGTACTGTCTGTATACTTTGTATCTTTTTGCACTGTTTGTACACTTTGTATGTTTTGGTTTCATCCTTTGTACTGTCTGTATACTTTGTATATTTTTCCACTGTTTGTACACTTTGTATGTTTTGGTTTCATCCTTTATTGCACAGTTTGTACACTTTGTATGTTTTGGTCTATTACTTTGTACTGTCTGTATACTTTTTATCTTTTTGCACTGTTTGTACACTTTGTATGTTTTGGTTTATTACTTTGTACTGTTTTTATTATTTGTGTACATTCTGTAATTATGTTTGTGTTTTCTATTATTTGTTTTGTTGTAGGTTAAGTTGATTAGGAGAAGGTTACAAAGTGCATTATCTGAGTTGGAACAGCAAGGTAAGCTGTACCGAAGACAGATAATCAGTGTCACCTATACCTTGCTGATATCGAGGTGCACACTGATTCTGAAGGTGTTGAACTTGTTGAGAAAGTTACAACAAATGATTCTGAAGGTGCTGAAGTTGTTGAGAAAGCCACAGCAACTGATAATGTAGAGAGTGAGAGTGAAGGCGGTTATCAGAGTGGGAGTGGGAGTGGGAATGGAAGTGGGAGTGGTAGTGATGGTGATGGGAGCGATGGTGGTGATCGGAGTGGTGACGATGATGATGAGAGTGATGATGGAGATAGGAGTGAGGAGGAAACTGATGAAGATGTAGCTCTAGTTAAGTTGAAGAAGCCAGCTCTTGTGAGGCAGCAGCCAGCAGTGGAGAAGATTGGAAGTGCTCGCGCTCCATCACTTCCGCAGCAGCCAGCTAAGCTCCAGAAGACTCCTGAAGTTGTGAGGCAGCAGCCAGCAGTGGAGAAGAGTGGAAGTGCTCGTGCTCCAGCACTTCCGCAACAGCCAGCTGAGCTCCAGAAGACTCCAGCACTTGTGAGGCAGCAGCCAGCCGTGGAGAAGACTGGAAGTTCTCGTGATCCAGCACTTCTGCAGCAGCCAGCTGAGCTCCAGAAGACTTCTGTACCTGGGCACCAGCAGCCAGCAGTGGAGAAGATTGGAAGTGCTCGTGATCCAGCACTTCCGCAGTAGCCAGCTGAGCTCTAGAAGACGCCAGCACTTGTGAGTCAGCAGCCAGTAGTGGAGAAGGCTGGAGTTACTCATGATCCAGCACTTTCGCAGCAGCCAACAATGGAGATTGTGGCCTTTGATCCAACACTTCAAAAGCAGCCAGCAGAGGATGGAGTCGTGCCAACCGCAGTTTCCGAGGAGCTGCCACTTAAGGATAGTATGGAAGTTGTTTTACAGATTGCACAATCTGTGGAGGCAGGTGCTGATGGTGAGCAGGGTGACAAGCTTGCTTAGTTAATGATGGTGGTCTTTTAAATTTGTAGTACATCTTTTAAATATGCACTTTATGATTGGTTTGTATTGTTTGTACTCTTTGTCGTACTATTTGTACACATGTTGTGTGTGCACACTACTTGTGTATTGCAAACTAGATCTTATGGTTTATTAATTATCTAGTTCTCTGTATTTATGTCTTTTGTAATGTGCTATATTGTTTCATCTTTGTTGTTTTGGTTGTGAGAAGACGAGTCAAATAGTGATGATAACGATGGGGTGGGGATTGAAGATGATTGTGATGATATTTCTAGTGATAACGCTGAAGATGAGTCAAATGGTGAAGATGACAAGAAGAATGGCGTCGAAGGTAATAGTTATGTTTGTAGTTGGTGCTGTCCTTTAGTCTCGTTTACTGCAGTTTTAAACTTTTTGTACACTTAGTTACTTTTTCTGCTGCTGTTTGTAATGTTTGTCTATTTGTACACTTAGTTACTTTTTCTGCTGCTGTTTGTAATGTTTGTCTGTTTTGTTTGTGTTGTCTCTATTTTGTTAGATTCTGGGTCGAATGTTGATTTCGTTAATCAAAGACGCTCGAAAAGGGAGCTCAAGCCATCCAATTTAAAGAGGACACCATTTACTAGTGGTAATAAAAAGCGTAAACCTCCTTCCATGAAAGCACCTAATCCTATTCGGCAAAAAAAGAAAAAACCTACCTCCAAGAAGGTAGAGAAGGTAGCTCCACTTCGGACTAGTAGCCAACTATTGTATGAAGAAAAACTTATTCAATATGCTTGGAGTGACAGATTTCCTGTGTAAGTTTCATTTCATACTGTTTGTATACATTTATATATCAGTTTGTACTTTTCTTCTTCGGTTTGTGAATTTAATATAAACTGTTTGTGTACATTTTTAGGAATGAAATTCTTTTCGACATGGGTGAAGGTGAGTTTCGCTTGTCAAGGAAGGATACTCAAACGACATGTGACAAGATTGTTCTATCAATAAAATTTCTTGATTGCTATATTGAGAATTTCAACCATTGCTCTTCTTGTGAGAATGGATTTATTGGTAGATGGTCTTTTCCAACTGACTTTGCGGTGAGTTAATTTTCACATGTTGTATGTTATTTAGTATCTATTAGCCATATTAATGCAAGTTTTTTTTTTTGTCTTTGATTGTACCTAGTCCAAGGTTGTGAATGACAAAATGGAACCCAAATATTTGAAGGTCATGAAATCTTATGTCAGAAAATACGCATTGCAAGATGGTGCATCTTTCAAGACATGCCAATATGTAAGTTGGAATATTTCATCCTTTGTACACTTTGTGATTCTGTTTCATATTTTTTGTATCCTTTGTACATTTTGTGATTCAGTTTCATATTTTTTGTATACTTTGTACACTTTGTGATTCTGTTCCATATTTTTTGTACACTTTGTACAATTATGCTTTGTATGATTGTACTTTTTATGATTCTTCTTTGTTTCTTCTTCATTTGCAGTGGCTTTTCCCATGTTGTATGGATGATCATTTCATGGTATATTGTGTTAACTTGAAGGATCGTCGTTTCGAGTACCTTGACAGCTCTCCTTCTAAGCATTTTCTAGATCGGTTTAGGAGGGTTGGAGAGTTGGTCGTCCAGTATGCAACATCTTACATTCAGCACATCATGCCAGGAAAGTATGACTTTGATAACGACTTCAAATGGCGAAGGATCACAATTCCATATGATAATTTCACTAGTGCTGGCATTATCTGTTAAAACTACTGTGAAGAATGGGAAGGTGTGGCTACAAAGACGATGAGGGAAAAATGGTCTTCTCCAACATATATTTACAACCGGAAGATTAATGCTATGTTGAATTTGCTGAATGGATCAAGGAATTTGATGATCGAGCAATTGAGGATGAATGTGTCTTTTAGTGAAGAATTGTTGCTGTCATTAGGGAGTTCCAGTACTGGGTTTTCGCTTGACAAATGATGAAATAGGGAACCAATAGTGTTTTTTTTTTGGTAATCCATGACAGTATGCACTAGTACTATTTTCCATTCTCATGTTTTGTAATGCGGTGACCATATGAACAGTAGTGTGGCTGTTGGTGTTATAGTTAGAAGGCTATTGCTAACCATTAAGTTTTTTTGAGAATGTAAATACTTGTCCTTTCTAGTATGAACAGTAGGGTGGCTACTATTTATGTTCTGGTTTTGTAATTTTTATCACAGTAGTTTGTATGTTTTGTTGTTGTGGTTCGTAATTTTTTGTATCTAACATAGAATAAGCATGAGAAACATACAAATATGAATTGAAAAAGAACGCAAGAAATGAATTGTTTGATGTGACAATTATTCAGTTTATCTGTGTATCTATGCAATCACTCAAATTTATCTATATATCTATCAAGTAATATATGATATGGCAAGTATTTCTCCTTTCTTTGTTTGTCTTCTCCTTTCTTGAATGATTTCACTACGAATCTTCCTCCTTCTCCTTGTCACTTTGTTTCCATTTCTACAATAGGATTAAACAGCAGTAGTCAGTTTTTGTAGCATACTTATCCAACAAAAAAAAAACAGACCAGAAAAATATACAAACAATACAAACCTTAACCAATATCATTACTAACAGTCATTGATATGAATATCAACTGAAAGAATACTAACTATTATGAAAAAACATACTAAGGATACAAACAGTAAGTGATATCATTACAAACCTGCTGCTTGTATTTACTTTCATGGCAGGTATCATGTATTTACTTTCCTTCAGCTGCCCTTTCTTGTAACTTTGTTTGTCTTCTCTTTTCTCGAATGATTTCAATACGATTCTTCCTCCTTGTCCTTGATTTAAATGGATCAGTCCTGACTTTTAATGCTTTCGCCCAATGTGGTTCACTCTCTGAACTTGTTGGATTCAATTCTGCTTCTAGAATAGGAAAAAAACAAAGGATTTAACAGCAATAGTCAGTTTTTGTAGCCAAACTTATCCTACAAAGAAACAGACCAGAAAAATATACTAACAATACAAACTTTATCTAATATCATTACTAACAGTCATTGATATGAATATCAACTGAAAGAATACTAAATGTTATGAAAAAACATACTAAGGATACAAACAGTAAGTGATCTCATTACAAACCTGCACCAAATTAAAGGTAGTGTTTCATTTCTTACCCGTGCTTGTGCTAGGCTGGCCAAACTTCATGGCAGGCATCATGGATTCAGCACGAATCTTCAATTCTTGCATTCCTTCCTCAAGCATCTTGTATATGTCATCATCCATACAAATGCGTGTTGCAAGCAAATTCATGGATCCAGTAAGTTGTTTCACCCTTGAACAGTACACCCTCTCTGTTGTATCTTGTATTGCCGGTAGTGTGAAATCTCCTGATTTTGCATCATATGTCCACCTCTTTAAGATGTAGCGTGTGTGAATATTCAGGATTTCTGGGTGTCCCCCATAGCCGAGGTGATCTATTGCGCGCAACACATGGCGACAAAGCCATCCACACTTCTCGAACATCTTGCATGAGCAAATCAGCTTACGCTCCACAAAGTCAACCATAACAATCCTCTTATCAATAGGATTTCCTTGCTGATCTAGTTTGTGAAGCTCATATGCAAACATTCCATCTATATCCTTGGAGTTGTTTGGTCGTATATGGTATTTGAATGACTTGGAGTATTCATCTTGCATGTTCCCAAATATATTTTGTGTATATTTGGTAACAAACTGTTGAAGAACCTCGTTGTTTGTGAAAACCAAGTATGGAATGGTGTTCAATGCATCATAGTCACTTCTCAACTCCTTATGTCTTTTGGCTTCAAGAAGGTTGTTAAATTGTATAAAAAACTCCCACAAAGTAAGTTTTGACTGGAGATACTTACGCAAATGGCTGTTGCAACTCTCGCTGAGTTGTGAGCTTCTCATTCCACATGCAAAATGATCTTTCAGCCATGCCGATGACCATTTACTTCTCACTTTGTGGAGGTTTTGCAGCCATGTCGCAATCTTACTTGTTAATTTCTTCCCTTCTTCTTCATTGAAGCAATTCTCAAGCATCTTCTTCCAATAATAGTCGAATTCATCCTCCGTCTCCAAATCATACATCAAGAAGGAAAGCTCTTCCAAAAATGGTGACCACCACAACCCATTACTTTTTGCATTCATTGTTATATGGAATGTGCACAGCCCATGATAAGTGCGCGGCAATGCTGTCCTCATACAAGCAGCAATTGTTGCCGCTTGATCGGTAAAAACAGCTCCCGGTTCCTTCCCGTTCATGCAAATGAGAAATTGTTTGAAGAGCCAATCAAATGTGGCTGATGTCTCATCATAGAGTAGGGCAGCACCAAAAACACATGATTCTCCATAGTTATTGAAGCCCACAAATAAAGCTAAAATGAACATTTTGTTTGAAATTAGTTATGAGGTTTAACAAAACTGACATATTGCAAAGTAACAGAACAGAGCAGAAAAACATACTAAGAATCCAAACTGTAAAAGAAAAACATACTAAGAGTACAAACTGTCAAAGAAAAACATACTAAGAATACAAACTGTAAAAGAAAAACATACTAAGAATACAAACAGCAACAGAAAACATACTAAGAACACAAAGAACAACAGAATCATGACAAATATGGAAGAAAATCATTACAAACATACATGTTAGTGAAAATTAAAAAATTATAGTACCTAATGGGAGAGCATTCTTGTTGGTGCGGTATGTTGTGTCAAAGCTGATGGTGTCACCAAAATAGAAATAGTCCATTCTCATGCGTCCATCCGCCCAGAAAATACTTGCAATTTCTTCATTGATGTCAACTTGGATCTCATAAAAGAAAGCTGGGTCCATTGAAGCTTCACTTTTGAAATGATGATAAATCATTGTTGCCTCCCCAAACTTCATTGTTTTTTGCCTTTTAGTCCCCAAGTATACAAACAGTACAAAGGATTAGACCAAAACATACAAAGTATACAAACAGTACAAAGAATATTACCAAAACATACAAAGTACAGAAATCAAATAGTATAAACAATACAAAACAGATCCAAAAAGCTTATAAAATGTTCAAAACCCACCTTTTAGTACAGATATAATTCTTGTGGTCCATTTGTGTGAAACCAACATTTTCTCTTCCTCCGGCAGCCAAGCATAATGCTTGAAATGATGATTGTATCGATATTCCAGCTTTGTGATACATGTCAATCAAGAACTTTTGCACTTCATTCATCGTTCTATTTGATCTCATGAATTGTCTTGATGATGGTGGGATCATCTTGTGATTATGCTCGTCTAACCAGCTTGAAATGTAGTATTTTTGGGAACTGTCTTCAAGCTGGAAGCGTATCACTGCTTTGCAATCCCATCTATCCTCTTTGGTGATTCTGCTTCTAGGTTGTTGGTCAACATGGTCGTCATTTGCTGGATTATTTGCACTACATTTTCGCCAACCTTCCTTATTGCATCTGCCACCAAAATATCTTACAACTTCACACGGTTTGTTATTGCTTGTTCTCTTAACCCCTCCTGTTTCTCTAACAGAAAATCCCTTATCATGTGCATAGCATTTGTACCACAGCAATCCATGATCTTTTGTGTCAAAGCGAAGGTTCATCCACGTTTCTTCATTGCTTGGTATTATTTTGATCTCATCATCTGCAGAAACAACCAGTTTACAATATCAGAACAACCACATTACAAAGTAACAGAATAGAGCAGAAAAACTGAAACGTCCCGATACTTTTAACAAAACCGAAATAACCATGGCTCCGGAGCCGATTTAAACCAACCTCAAAAGGTAAAATACAACTTAATCATTTTAAAGAAAAACATCAAATGCAAATGCCCTAAACACGTGGGCGACCTCAAATCACAGTCAATAAAACTCAATTCTTTTGAACCTCCAGCTATACTCGTAATCATAAACATAAATAACTAAACAAACTCTAACTCTAACTCCTTGCTGAGCTCCCTGAGACCTTGTCCACGCTGGTACGGCTGCTCGCCACCGTCCTGCCTCTTCTAAAAAAACCACGACCGTTAAGCTTGCTCAACCTGGTGAGTGAGAAGGGGTCAGTCTCGTCGTTACTTCTTAAGGTCTTTGCCCTAGGCAAACTCCTTACTAAACACATTATTAGGGGAAATTACTTCCTCTTACATGAAAGTCGTTCTCACTTTCATCCTTAATATTTTAGTCCCTGATAGCTTATAGAAGTTCTGTACTTCTATCTTAATTTATATTCTTATTACTAGGGTTCACCGCGTTACGTACCGCCGTCCGGTGTCCCTATCCTCAAGGCAATGGTACTGCGTTACGTATCGCCGTCCAGTCCATGCCCGGTCAACTACTGCGTTACGTATCGCCGTCCATTAGTGACCCGACCATCTACCGCGTCCAGTAGTGGCCCAACCGCCCGGGGGTTCAATTATCATCATCCATACATCATAAACACACACAAACATAGCACAACGCGTGCCTCCACCTTAAGTAGGCGGTGGGATGCCTCACACACATAATCGCGCTTACTTGAAAATTAAATAACATAACTGAATTAAAAAGGCATAAACTAAAAGACCTCGACGGAGATTTTACCCCCTTTACACTCACCTCATTTGCCGACTCCGATCGATCGACGGGACTCCTCTTCACTGCCGGTTGATCCACGTCATCCCCCGAGATTCCATGCTCAAACTCCTCGCGCTTTACCTTCTTTTGCGCTTCCTCCCTATATCAATTTCCTCTTCCATGTCTCAAACCATCGGCAACAGACCCTCGTAGGAGATCATCCGAAACCCATTCTATAATTAGTACATAAGATAGCCACCCAAATAAATTTGTGAAAGCCCCTTAAACCAATGGTAAATTCATTCCTAGCTCCCACTGAATTCTTTACGTAAACCACTATCTAGATCATGGCCTATGTGTAAACGAATCCCATTTCTTGGCTTTATCCCTTCCTTCACCTCCATTACGTCCTTGACTTAGACATCTATGTCCATTTTGTATAATTCCGATCAATTACCAATGCCTATAACCTCAACATAGAAGCTTCAGATTAATTTTGTCTATCCTTTCCGTTCTACAAGCCATTCCTGTAGCTTGTTTATATATATAGCAAAATATACCAACTTCTTCCACCAACCCTCATCTCATCCAAGAAAACAATCACGTCTGACAGCTTTTGGCATCCAAAATGAATATACTAACCTTGTTTACCTTGAGCCTTACATGATTAAGGGCTGCTTCCCACCTAGACATGATCCACGAGCTAGGAACACGTGTATATAATCATACACCTCCAATGAATTCTTGGAGTCCTTCTTCAGCTTGATACCTCGAGTTCCCACAAACGTCGATCCGTTATTCCACCCGCAAGCTCTCCCCTCCAGTCCACTCGTCTACTTGGCGTTCCTGTCCACAAGCGACGTCCCATCTTCCATCCTTCACAGCTTCCTCTCTCCTGGCAGTCGGCGATCGCTGAGGAAATCCCCCGGTTGCGAGATCAAGAAAGCTAGGTGGTTCCTCTCTGTTTCGGGTCTAGTGTTTCGGCTGCCTGGGATCCAGTTGTAGGGTGAGGCACTTGTGTGCCCATATATATATATGAAAAGGGTTGGACGAGTATGGGACCGGTTGGGTTAGGTTTAGGGTTTCAAGGGTATTTTGGGAGCTTTCACAATTACAGTTGAGTTTGACCCGAAACTCAGATAACGTTCGTAACTTACTTATTTATGTCAAAACTCGACACCGTTTGAACTGATAGTTCACATTTTTAATCCTCATCAATGCTACGGTGGAACTTGACAACTTGATCCAAGAGTATAATAGTCATTTTTACTTTTTGGAAGAGAGGGGTGTAACAAAAACATACTAAGAATACAAACTGTCAAAGAAAAACATACTAAGAGTACAAACTGTAACAGAAAAACATACTAAGAGTACAAACTATAAAAGAAAATCATACTAAGAGTACAAACTGTAACAGAAAAACATACTAAGAACACAAACATCAACAATACTAACATTACAAACACAAATAAACCATACAAACTGATGCACTAAAGCTATAAAGACATATGATATTTCGTACAAACTGCATAAACCATACGATTTTACTGTTTGCACTGTTTGTACAAACATAACAATCATCATATATAAAGACTTACAAAACAAAATGTACAGAACAGAGCAGAAAAACATACTAAGAATACAAACATCAAAAGAAAAACATACTAAGAATACAAACTATAACAGAAAGCACAACAATACTAACATTATAAACTGTAACAATCATCATATATACAGATTTACAATACAGAATCATAACAAATATGCAACAGAATCATTACAAACAGCAACATAATCATAACAAATATGCAACAGAATCATTACAAACAAGATTTATTACCGATTTCACGTTGTACTGTTGTTTTCTGAACATCTACATCCATTGTTGTTTCAGTTCCAATTTCTCCCGTTGTTTGTTCATTAGCTCCATCAACCACTTCATCCATTGTTATCGGAGCAGAATCCATCATGCAAAGAAATTTGCCTCGGTGATCACTGTTGCTGGAAAAATGCCTCGCCGTTCTCTGGAAAAGCGCCTCGCCGTTGGCTGGAAAAATGCCTTCGCCGATAGCTGGAGGAGAGTGCAACTCGCCGTCGTCGATCGCGGGAGGAAAATCGCCTCGCCAATCGCTGCAATCTCCTTCGCCTATTGTTGGAATCGCCTCGTCGATCGCGGGAGGAAAATCGCCCCGCTGCTCGCCGGAATCGCCTGCGCCGCCAATCACCGGAATCGCCTCGTCTATCGCGGGAGGAAAATCGCTCCGCCGATCGCCGGAATCGCCTTCGCTCGCTGGAGGAGTTTGGACGCCGTCGGGCCGTTTGCGGGAGGAGTTTGGACGCCTTCGGGATATTTTTTTCCCTTCCCAGAATAAAAAGGAAAACCAATTAATGAAAATTTTTAATGCCAGAATTGCCCCTCCCAGTATTTAAAAATCCCTTCCCTAATATTCACCGTTAGATTGATCCTTGTACATCCAATGGCTAGGAGGGGCTTAGCCAAGTGACTAAGCACCCCCCTTAGTCACCAGATCCGCTCTCCTATGCTGGGACTAGCAACAAGTTTTAACCTGGAGGTTGAACAAATAGATGAGAAAACTGCCTTTCTTCATGGTGATTTGGAGGAAGAAATTTACATGGAGCACCCAGAAGGCTTAAAGAAGGAAAAAATGGATGACTATGTGTGTAGGCTCCGAGAAGACTACTTCAGACCACTGTGTGTTCGTGAAGAAATTTCCTTATGGAGATTTCATCATACTATTGCTCTATGTGGATGATATGCTAATTACTAGGCAAAAATTTTTCAAGGATCAACGAATTGAAGAATGAGTAGAGCAAGTCCTTTGCCATGAATGACTTGGTACTAGCAAAGCAGATTCTTGGCGTGAGGATCATTCACGATCGAGTTGCCAAGAAGATATGGTTGTCCCAAGAGAAGTACATTAAGAAAGTACTTCAACGTTTCAACATGGATAATGCTAAAGCGGTTAGCTGTCCTCTTGCTAACCACTGTACATTGACATCCAAACAGAGCCCGTCTACTGAGAAGGAAAAGGCGGAAATGGATAAAATTCCATATGCTTCAGTAGTGGAAAGTTTGATGTACGCCATGGTGTGTACAAGGCTAGATATTGCTCATGTAGTTGGAGTTTTCAGACCGTTTCTTTCGAAACCAGGAAAGGAACACTGGGAAGCTATGAAATGGATCCTCAGATATCTTCGAGGTAGCTCCAAAATGAGTTTGTGTTTTGGATATGGTAAACCTGTCCTTGTAGGCTACAACTGGAGAAGATCCATACTGATGAAAATGGATCTGACATGTGTACCAAGACTCTTCCAAGAGAAAAGTTTGAAATCTGTCGATCAGCTGCAGGGACGACGAAGTCGCCCTTGTGGTCGGGCAGGGGAGAATTGTGAGGGCCTGACACATGGGTTTGCTGGAGCTGTTTTGGCGGTGATTAAATTGCACCGAAATAGCAGATAAGAATTGAATTCCCTTGCTCTCATTTTTTCACTATAAAAGGAAGGAGGCACAAGCCATCATCCCACACCAATCCTTCTCCTCTCGTTTCTTTCTCTGTAGCCTTCCTTTGTATGCTCTTTGAGCAATTCTTTACTTGTGGGTTCTGGTCGTGAAACGTTTTCACTACCACGGGTAGATAGGAGATTTCATGTGAGTGAAATAGTGAGGTTGTTCTGGGAAACACCAAGTGTTTTATTTCCTTGTATCTTGAAATTCTTTGTAACCTACTGTTGCTATAGTGAAGAAATACTCCGAAGATGATGTTCCGTGGATTGGCCCAAAATCAGCGTATGCCACGTAAATCCTCTATGCCATTTATTATTGTCCATGCTTGTTGTTATTTTGAGAATAGTCGTAGTATATTGCATTATTAAATTAACGAATTTAATTGGTTTATGAAAGTTGGTTACCGTAATTATGGAGGACTACCGCCAATTCCAACTTATCTGGGAACCTTTTACAAGCGTGTGATTTTGTAGTTCAATATATTTACCCGCTATTCTCACCCTCTACGCCCAACAATTTTCAAGAGGCATAACCGTGCAATTTTTCCATGGGATCGATGGAAAAGTAACAGTCATGTGACTTCAAAATTAAACCTGTGACTTTCCTGAGCGCAATCATGCAAAATTGGGGAAAAGTCACGGTCGGGGGAAGAAAAATTCAAGACCCTGCAAAATGGATTTTATAGTGTGAAACATGTCCAGAGAGTATGGAAAATAATTACATTCAGTGAAATAAAAAGTCATATGACCATTACTTCTAGCCATTTAGCCGTTGAAAACCCAAAGTTGGTCAATTCATCAAGGTTCTGCAATTTTTCAACACTTCAACACCCCAAACTCGAATTTGATACATCAATAGGCAGTATCTTGACAAAATAGTGCATTTTTTTACTATTAGTTAGAATTTTTTTTTACAAGTATTAGTTAGAATTATTAAGTCGCAAGTTTGTACAAAATTTGGCACGGTTCATTAAGAAATTTTCGGAGGTTACTATTCACTTGGGGGTGTTGGTTCAGCTATGGCCATTTGTAGGTGAGCCCATAAATATCAACTTGGGCTGGCCAATTTTTGGTCGTTGATCAATTCATTTTTGGGATTCGTAGGCTCAACACATAAGTCTAAACCCACTGCACAACCTTCTCTCTCCTTTAAGTCCTTTTCCGCGTACCTTCTCTCCTCTCTCTTTTATCTCTTTCTCCATCGCTTACACTTCCATTCTCTTCCCCTCAATTTCTTCTTCGGATCCAAATAAGCTCGGAAAAATGACATGGATTGACACAAAGAGCCTCCACTCTTCCGACCTTTAACATTGGTGTGGTCGCCAGACGGCTCCGACTGTTAGTGGTGACACGAGCTGGATCGAAGGTTCTAGGTTTCAGCGATGTGATAAGAAGAGAAGAATGGGGGAAAGAAATAGATTCTTTGTTAGGAACGGAACAACAACAAGAACGAGGTTACCGAATCTGGAGCTGAGTCGCGGACTAGGTCGCTCTCTTTAAGACGTTCGCGGCACAGCCCTCGATGCGCACGGCAAAATATCAACCGGTCGTCTCGAGGATAAAACAACTCCTCTCTGTACTCGCGGTTTTGTGCGAAAACCGGAGCTCTCTAAACCCTCTCTATTGTGTTTATGCTCGTTGTCGTGTGTTTAGAGGGGTTGGGGAGACGGCTATTTATAGGAGCCGAACCCCTAGGAATATACCCTCTTGCTTGGGGAATAAGTCGGATTAATTGAGGAAGATAATTACTTCCTTAATTAAACCTGTTTGTTAAGATAATTCCTGCGGGATTATCCTTCGAATATTCCGTTTAAACGATTATCCTTAGAATATTCCTCAGAATAACCGATTAATAATTATTTATTAAATAATTAATTTCGTTCATAATTTCTCCAAAAAATATATAGTCTCAACCAACCAACCAGTCGACCGACCGACCGGTCGAACAGATAGAAGGAGTGCGCGCGCGCGTGGGTGTGGTGGTCCGTTAGGCCCTCCCTCTCCCACAAAAGTGGGTCACCCCAAGGGGCATGCCCTTAGGAGAGAAGCTCCTATCTTTATACACATTTCACCAAGTAAAACTGCCAATGTGGTAATTTTTCCACTTGAAACTCTATAGCTTTCAAATCTATTCATTCATTTCCAACAATCCCCCACTTAAATTGTTTTGAAACTATCTCTGAGCATCAACAGTTCCATAAGATCGGGCATAAGCTAAGGTATCGTGAAGATTTGAACCTTAGTGTAGTGGTTACTCTTCCGATTTAACAAGGGTGACTCGTAGTCTTGAACCCTATCTCAGACAGTGTAGCACACCGGATCTTTTCATTGAGTTGTGTTCTCTTCTTAGCCCGTACGTTTATGGCCATGTACGTTATCCTGGTTTAGTGAATGCTTTAGCAACTTTGTGCCTCCAGAGTTCCATAGGGAGCGACCCCACTCCCATATTCACATAGGTGAGTCTATCAGAAGTACCCCCAAAGTAAAGTACTCCCCCCCACATAGGGTATAGATCTCATTAAGAGTTATTAATTCAACCTCCATTGCTTTGGGATTCATGCTTCACTATGCATGAACTTTTCACATACTACTCATGACTTGTTATTACCCATTGAACCCATTTCTTGGGATCTCCAGTCTATTGGGTCGGGTTACCATCACTTGTAGTCCGTGGTTCGGTAGGCATAAGTTCCATACCCTTGGCAGTATTCTGGACTTTCTCTCTAGGTAATTCTTTTCTCAAAGGATCAGCTAGATTTTTTTAGGATCTTATATGATCCACCCTCACTGCTCCTATCGTTAGGAGTTCTCTTACAGTACTGTGCTTATGACGAATTTGTCGTTTCTTTCCGTTATAGAATCGGTTCTCAACTTTAGTGATAGCTGCGGTACTATCACAATGGATCAATACCGGAGGGACCGACCTTTCCCATTGGGGAATCTCTGACAACAATCCTCTCAACCAACTCGCTTCTTCACTAGCCATTGCCAGTGCTATCATCTCTGATTCCATAGTTGATTGAGCTAGGATGGTTTGTTTCTTTGACTTCCAAGACACAGCTCCACCAGCGATGTTAAAAACATACCCGCTGATTTCCTTGGAGTCATTTGATAGGGTATTCCAATCCGCATCACTATACACTTCTAGTACAGTAGGAAACCTTTGATAGTGTATACCAAGGTTTGATGTTCTCTTGAGGTATCTCATGACCCTCTCTATAGCATTTCAATGCTTTCTACTAGGACAACTGTTAAACTTGCCAAGCAATGTATGGTCGAGTGTAATCCGCAGCATAACGGAGACTTCCAATGATGCTAGCATATTCTGATTGTCTTACACT